GACTCCGACAGTGAAACACTCCCCCTAGCACTGCACCTGAGCGTCTGCCTGGACTGCAAGCTCAAAATCTCTATTTGAAAAGAGACGGTAATTTCTCCCAGTCGTTCATCTCACAGCTGTTTGTGGGGACGTCGCTGTGTGCAAATTGGCTGCCAAACAAATATGCAGTCACTTGCCCTTTGCAGTAATTGCTTCGAAGCACTTTGAGGTGTTTTGATGTGTCGGGGCACTGTCTGAGTTGCACTGCAGCGCAATTTACATTTATATGGCGTCTTTCGTGTCGGGAGAAGGACATCTCGAAATAATTTTACACAGGATTATTATTATCCGTATTATTATTATAATTTGATCAAACATTTCCGAAGGCGTCACGAGAGCAGAATTAATGGCAGCGAACGGATCACAAGATTGTTTTAACGTCCCACACCGACTGCCGGTCGGGCGTGCTGTTATTCCTTAAAAGCACATCGAATGAATCCCGTGTATTTGATTCCAAAACGTTTTCAAGTTACCTGGCACAGCGAGGGGCACTGCGAAGCACTCTGAAAGGAGCAATAGAGAGGGGAATGGAAATGGAAGTGTCAAAACTGATGTAATGATACTCATTCTCTTTTGTCGCAGTGAGTGCTTTGGGAGATATGCTTTACACTCGAAAGTGGTTGGCATTTGTTCGTGCTGTACGACTGAACTGCTGCATTAGACACATACGCTATCTCTGGTTGAAAGACCCATCTGGTCTCTGGGACGCGTTTCGGTCGCTGGCGTTAATCCAGCGATCTCACTCCGACACACCATACGGAATTGACCATGTGAGGATGGGAACAGATGGATGGTTACACTGATTACAGCATTACAGCTTGGTTCATTTCCATCGAGCTTTTGACCAGTACTAATGACACTAATGCTAATTCCCTGCCCGTTTTCCCCCGACTCTGCCATCCACGGTGATTGCTGAGGGAGGGGGTGGGAAAAACAGCGCTTCCTTTCCGCCCCCCACCACTCCCCCCCACCCCACCCCACTCCCAATTGGATCTGTGTCACCGAATTTGATTCAACTTACAAATAAAGAGTTTCCTGTAGCTCAGTGGTTAGAACACTCACCACGCAAGCGAGAGGACCCGGGTTCGATTCCCGGGCGGGCCGAAACTTTGGGCAAGTTTCCTCACTGCGCACACCTCTGTTTACCCAGCAGTGAGTAGGAACCCGGTTGTTAGTCGATTGGCAGCTCGCTTTCCGGGGGTAATAAGCCCTCAAAAAAAGACGTGATCACTCAATCCACGACTGTTTGTGGGGACGCTGCTGTGCGCAATTGGCTGCCGCGTTTCGTCCACAAAATGTACAGTCAATTGACTTTACGGTATATTCTGTGAAGCGCTTTGAGACGTCTCAACGATGTGACAAAGCGCCATTTCGAATGTAAGGATTATTATTATTAGTTACCCTGCTCCCCGCACGTAGGGTAACGTCTCGGAGAGCTTTACAAAGACGCCGTTGGAGGCACAGCAGGGGAGACGGGGAAGGGGGAGGTGACCACAATGAGAACAACAGCGCCCTACACAGCGCCGCAAGGAGACCGTGTAACCTATCTGACCTGTGCTTTGCCCAATAAATAGCACAATCGTCAAAACAAAAAAATGAGTAACTTTGAGCTGTTTTCACCCTTTGGACCTTTTTTTTTCACACCAGCCGATAAACCGCAGGCTGAAAATCAATGGCCGTGTTTTGTTGTGATATTGATTTGGTGTCATTCATCTCCTGCCAAACTGGGGGCCAGAAACCATCTCCTGTGAGCCTAAAGACTGCTGCACAAATCTTGTGTACAGACACGATGACAAGGCACCCGGTGACAAGCGACGGGGTGGAGGGGTGAGGTGTGGGGTTTGGAGGGGTAGTGCGGAGTGGGGAGGAAAGGAGGGGTCGATCGTGATGATTTTTAACACTCGTAATCCTTTTTTTTTGTTAATCATCGCATATTCTGTGAAGCGAAGCCTCGTTCGAGACTTTGATGCTGCGAAAAGGCTGAGAGTTGGTTTGGTATTCTTGAAGGAATGAGTTGAAGGACAGTTCTATATCCAGCTAATGAGTAATCATAGAATCATAGAATTATACAGCACAGAAGGAGGCCATTCAGCCCATCGGGTCTGTGCTGGTTCTTTGAAAAGAGCTTCCAAATCAATCCCAATCCCCCACTCTCTCCCCACAGCCCTGCAAACTTGTGCTCCCCAAATAATTATCTACTTCTCTCTTAAAAGTTGTTATCGAAACGGCTTCCACCGCTGTTAAAGGCAATGCATTCCAGATCCCAACAACTGACTGTGTGAAAACATTTCTCCTCTCTGCTTCTTTTGGCAACTATTTTAAATCGGTGTCCTCGGGTTACCAACCCACCCGCCAGTGGAAATAGTTTCTTTCTTGTTCACCCGATCGAATCCCCTCGTAATTTTGAACACTTCCATTAATCTCCCTTTAACCTTCTCCGCTCCAAGGAGAATAATCCCAGCTTCTCCAGCCTCTCCTCATAACTGAATAATGTAAAAGGCAGGGGCGAAAAACAAACATGGCACTGAATCATGATATTGAGGTGTTGCCTTCATCTCTCCCCTCCCTCCCTTCCATGGCTCTCTGTTGCCAATGATACCCACTGAGAAGATTCTCTGCCAACGTCAAGCAGCTAAAACTGCTGAACATTCAGAAGCAGAACTAATTACAGTCACTCCACCCTGCAGTATACTCTGTGAAGCGCTTTGAGACGTCTCAATAAGATGATAAGGCGCTATATCGAATGCGAGGATTATTATTATGATTATTACTATTATTACTACACCAGACCAGTTGTTGCAATTGCCCAAACGCACGTGAACACAGCACCTCTGGCAAGTGATATTTCACCATAGTGGAGGCAATTTTCGTTTAGTTTCACACATCTTTAACAACATTCGTATTTTTAAGGAGCGAAAATAGCCGTGGCAGGTGGGAAAGTCATAAGAATAGAATCATGTGCCTCACGCTCTGACACACATCGGGAGGACATCTCGAAGCGCTTTGCGGGATTGCATCATGACAACAACAACAACAACAAAATTACATTTGTACAGTGCTTTTCACTCCAGGAGTACATCCCAAGGCGCTAGACTAGACCATCAGTGTTTCTGGCCCAAGCTGAGGGGTCAGGATCGGGGAGGGTGGAGGACGGGTGGAGGAAGAAGGTTGACCAAAGGCATTGTCGAAGAGGAGGGTCTTGAGATAGGTCTTGAAGGAGGCAAGGGCGGGGGGGGGGGGGTGGGGGGGGCGAGGCGGAGGGACTGCGGGATGGAGTTTCAGAGGGTGGGGGTGGGATGCGGAGTGGCTGAAGGCCCGCCCGCTAATGGTAGGGTGGGCAGGCGGGGGTGGTGAAGCAGACCGGAGCCCGCTGAGCAGAGGGGAGCGGGCAGGTGATGTGCGGTGACTGTGTGTTTGGGAGGTGGGTGGAGGATGAGTTTCACTGCGTCATGGAGCAAATCGAGAGACAGTCGGCTTTACCATACAATACAATACAATACAAAATGATATTTGTACAGCGCGGAAGGAAATAAAATGGCAATTGGAGGCGGCCTTTCTTTCTTTCACAGGCAGACAACAAGAACGACAGGCGGCTTTGTATTAGAATCCTTTTAATTTAATAAATTCTTTTTCTCGTCATCCAATAAAATAAAACAGGACCCAGAGTCATTCTTTTACATTTACAGTCTGAGTGAAAAGGAAGACTTCTACAGAGGTCAAAGATATCCTTATCCCTTTAAGAGAAATACTGATTTTTTTTTAAATCACAAGCTTCTATGCTGAGATGTACTGCAAAGTTGAAAAAAGTTGGGGGTGGGGGTGGGGTGGGGTGGGGATGGGGTGTGGGATCGGGGGTGCAAGCAGGGTGTCTGGCGGGGGAAGGAGGGGAGCGGTAAGGATGGGGAGATGGGAAGAAAAAAAGGGGGTGGGGGGGGGATGTGGCTTTACGCTTATTGATTGCATTTTTCTGGCGTGCAAGACTGTGGGGGGTGGGGGTGGGTGGTGGGGGGTGGGTGGGGAGAGAGGACAAAGTAATTAACACAATGGTTGGAGCACAAGGCTACAGCAGAGAAGCTGATGATGCTGTCACCATAGTTACCTAGTGTGAGACAGGCCACAGACATCCCAGTGGTACCTCACCCCCATCGTAGGTACAAGGGTTTCACACGACAGATGTCAAAGACAGTGCCTTCGCAGAAGGCATTGCAAATGATACAGAGTGACCCACCAAATGTCAATGAAAGCTTAATTACTCCCTGATAGTAATTAACCGTAGCACTCACCCAGGCCAGGTCCGTACAGTATATAACACTATTCCTCCCAGCTATACGGTGCCTGCACATATATAAAATATATATATATATATATGGGAATAGCACTCTCTTTAGCTAGGCCTATACATTAATATAATAGCACTCAGTCTAGCTAGCTCTGTACAGTAGTATAATCTTCTCCAGCTTCTTGTATTCAAACACAAACGATATATTTTTTTCTCTCTCTTTATACAAAACTCTGCTTTGGGTGAGGTTTTGGTGTGATCGTCTCAAGGGTCAGAGGACACGGATGTTTTTTTTTAATTGGATTGGATTTGATTCTTGCTTCTCGGCTTTGACGCCTCCTCGCGGGCAAACCCGGCCCAATTCTCGCCAGGGCAAGTCAGCGCCACCTTTAACCTCACGCCCGTGAAGTTGGCATGGAAATTGTGCTTGCGGGGGTGTGGGGGGGGGGGAGGTGGGTTGGCGGCTGAGCCTAACCTGGCGGACTAGCGGTAATCTCCCCCCACCCCCACCCCGCCCAGCCCCCCCATCCCGCCCACACACACACACACACACACGCGCACCGCTAAACTTTGTGCTTCCGCCCGCCAGACGTCCTGCGAAATGTCAAGATGATGGGGAAACCCTTTCCCTTCCTTGCACTCACGCACGCACGCACACATGCACGCACACGTATCCGCGCGCACACACACGCACGCACGCACACACACACGCACACACACACACACACACACGAAAGGAGCGTTAAATCTGGACTGAACAGTTTGCAAATGCCTCTTTGCAAAATCCGAACCCAACCGGGTTACACTCTGCCTCTTAAATTCTCTTTAAAAGAGCTGACAGCTTCGCCCGCCCTGAAAAGATCACCATGTCTTTGTGCCGGCGTCAAAGCGACCTTCTGCAGGAACATCCCATTCACTGGAAGATAATATCAGTCTTAACGTGAGCCGCTAAAAGCATAACAGTGATAGCTCTCGCCTTACTCGCACAGTACTGAAGTCCTCCCACTGCACTGTAAGTCAATGTTCTTCTTCAGTGCTTAAGCATTGCTCCCAGTGTTACACTTGCAGTCGGGTCTAATGTTAAGCAAGCTTTAACATTCCTCGATTTGTTTTGTGTTTTTTTGGCACTCACGATGCTCTGTATTCCGTACCTTCCATTGGACTTGATCACGAAGGGTCTCTGTGGTAAGCCGGTGGTCATATCTCGGACTCCCTCCTGTAAGACCTTTGATCCAATGCTATCGTGGCTTGCAACCGGTCAAACTCGTGCCGGCTGCTGTCCGGGCTGGGGTCGTCCAGGACCCTGCTGTCATCGTCCTCCTCTTCCTCGTCCCGGCTCATAAAGGCCAACTCGTTCTCGTAGCAGAAGGAGTTGGTGCTGGGGACGAGGAACTTGCTTTCCACCAGGTCCTTGGCGCTGCAGCGTGGGGTGGAGGGCACCTCGTAGGTCTTGTGGAAGTGTGAGTAGTCCACCTTATACTGGTTCTTCTCTTCGAAGAGCACCGGCTCGAACCGGTGACCCCACAGGATCTCGCTGGCCAAGTACGAGCTGCGGGCTTGGGTGGTCATGGCCGTGGCCTCCACCATGCCCTCCAGGATGACCACGACCTCAAAGTCCGCTGTCTCGAGGTCCTGCCTGCCAATGCCATACATCGGACTCTCCTCATCTATTTCGTGGAGGATGGTGATGGGAGAGACCAGGAAAATACGGTCCAGTCCTTTGTCGAAGCCCACGTCGATGTCGATCTGGTCCAGAGGGATGTACTCCCCTTCCTCCGTGATGCGGGGCTTGATCAGTTGGGCCCTGACGTGGGCTTCCACGATGTGGCTTTTCCGCAGGTTGCCCACGCGCCACATCAGGCACAGCTTGCCGTCCCGCATGGCGATGACGGCATTGTGGCTGAACAGCAAGGTCTGCGCCCGCTTCTTCGGCCTGGCCATTTTTGCCATGATGGCTCCGATCATGAAGGAGTCTATGATGCACCCGACGATGGACTGGAAGACAACCATGAAGATGGCCAGCGGGCATTCCTCGGTCACGCAGCGGAAGCCATATCCGATGGTGGTCTGGGTTTCGATGGAGAACAGGAAGGCGGCTATGAAGCCATTCACCTGCAAGACACAAGGCTTGAAGTCGTCGTCCTTCGCCGGGCTCTCCAGGTCCCCGTGTATCAAGGCGATGAGCCAGAAGGCCAGGCCAAAGACCAACCAGGAGACCAGGAAGGCCAGGGAGAAGATGAGCAGCATGTAACGCCAGCGCACATCCACACATGTGGTGAAGATGTCTGCGATGTACCTCTGAGGCTTGTTGCTCATGTTGGTGAACTCCACGTTGCACTGGCCGTTCTTCTTCACGAAGCGGTTCCGGCATTTCCTGCGCGTGTGGATCTTGCCGTTGCCGTAACCGTTGATGCCCGGCATGGTTGTCAGTCTCAGCCCGTCTTCTTCGGATGACACGATGCTGTAGCGATTGACTCGGGCACTGGTCATTCCCGGCTGGAGCATGGGAATCGCTCGTACGGGCTCATGGAGGACAATCCCAAGCCAACGAGCTGGGGGCGGGGAAGTCCAGGTCGCTGGCAGTGAAGCTCAGCTGCGCTGTCAGGAACTCTTAGCTTGCCTTACAGGCACCCAGTCAGCATCGTACCCTTAAGAGAAGAGATAAGAGGCAATCAATACGGCGAAAGAGGTGTTGCGGGGTTTCTAAATCCACCTGCAACGGACAGAAATAAGACAATGTGGGTCATGCAGTAACGGGGGTCTTTGTCTTGGAACCAAATTAAAGTTTTCCTTACCAAGGAATCCCGTTAGAAACCGCAACCTCCTCTCCCGCTTTCTATTTTTCTTCCTCATTAAAAGATTCTCAGAAAGATTCATTATCGGACACGACTGTCGTGTTTCTGCTGCGCGCGACATCGCCAGAGACCGATGTGCCGAGCGACATTGATGCGGCTGTCAAAGCTGTCAAAGGTGGACGTCAAGATGATGTATGAAGAAGCAGGATGTGGGAGTGGGTGGGCTGTGAGATGAAGAGTCATGTAATGTTCGTGGTTAGAGCCCTCGCCTTGCAAAACAAAATTTGCTCACTCAATCCGCGAGTGTTTGTGGGACGCCGCTGTGCGCAATTGGCTGCCGTGTTTCGCCCACAAAACACAACGCACACTCGATTCGCTTGACAGCGTTATTATCAGAGGAGAGTTGTCAGCTCTCGGTGAAAACTTAACGAGAAAAGCGGCTCTCGTGATCCTAGGATCACGTTACAGCGCAGGAGGAGGCCATTCGGCCCATCAAGTCCACACCCGGCTCTCTCAAATACCGAGCCTGTACAATGTTCAGAAAGTATAATACACCTGATCCCGGCGGGAATGTCTTTGGTAACGAGAGTGAAAGCTGTGGGTATCGAAGGGCAGGAAAATCACTGACACAATCAATTGCATCTCACGCATGGATTAGAGGCACTTAGCTGTAAGTATGGATGTATGGTGCCTTTTTCTCCTGGTCCGCACCCTTCCCATCGCTCTCCGCTCTGCCTCGTACAATCTTGTGAGAGGCAGCTTGGAGGGTAACGGGAAGATGATCCATCGCCCCCCACCCCACCCCCACCACCTCCCCCCACCACACATCCCCGGTTGCAAAACTAGTCTCTGGCACCGCGCACATATAAAACAAAGAAGTCATTTGTTTTGTTAAAAAAGATGTTATCAGACTTTTCCTTACTGCTCCGACCCCACAGTAAATAATCATCCTTGCATGAGGTGCAGTGCCTCGTCCCGTCATCATTAAGATGCCTCAAAGCGCTTCAAGGGATTTTACTGCAAAGTGTAGTGACTGTGTGTTTTGCAGGCAAACGCGGCAGCCAATTTGTGCACAAACACAAACAGCCGTGAACCTCTGACAATGCAACACTCTCCCCATCCCCCAAACCCCCAAACCCCCCAACCCTCCAAGCGTCAGCCTGAACTATGTGAGTCCAAAGACCCAACATAGAGGCTTGAACTCACAACCTTCTGTCTCGCAGGTGAGAGCGCTGGATTGCTCCATCTGACCTGGTGTAGTTACTGTACAACAAGTGAGCCTCCCAGACACTCTGTCATGTCGTCCGCAGTTCTAGGCAGTATTAGGCAGTACTAGGTAGTATTAGGCAGTACTAAGCAGTACTAGGCGAGCAGTGATTCCGTGGTTTGAGTCGAAATCACTGTGTTGGGTGACTGTTTGCTCCTATTCGGTAACCCAATGCCTGACGGAAAGTGACCCTGTCTCAGGCCTTACGCTGCTTGGAAAGTCACCACATCACACACCCACTTCCACAGCACAGATTCTATTTATAAAGACCTGGTCATCTGATAAAGTGCCTCACAAGCCATTCTATTCCACTCCGCTCCTCCAATCAGCTTTTATGGCAGTCAGACCCCCCTCTCACTCTCTCTATTTCTCTCTCTCTTCCTCTCTAGCTGTCTTTCGTTCTTTCTCTCTCGCTCCCTGACTTCCCCCCCCCCCCCCGCCCACCCCCTATTCTCTTTCTTTCTCTCTGGTTCGCCTCTTAGTTCTCCTGCTCTTTAAACACCCCTTTCCTTTCCTTTCCGTCAATCCACCCCCCTCTCTCTCTTCAGTCCCTCGCTCTCTCTCTCTCCCTCCTCATCAGTCTCTCTCTCTCCTCTTCAGTTCCCTTCTGTCTCTGGCTCACTCAATCGACTGCTGTGTGAGTTAGGAACATAGTTTCCTTACTCCACACACCTGATAATAATCCCCAAATAAATAAAAAAATAATTTGTTCACTCAATTTAATTCCTGTGCATAGAATCATATAATCATAGAATATTGCACCGCAGAAGGAGGCCATTCAGCCCATTGAGCCGGTGCTGGCTCTTTTTTGGAAGAGCTACCCAATCAATCCCACTCCCCCGGTCTTTCCCCCACATCCTTGCAATTTGTTTTTCCTTTTCTGGCTAAAATATTCTCTTTGCCAAGTCAGAGAAACAGCAGAGAAATTGTCAAGCGATGCTCATCGGGCATCGTACAGACACCAACCAGCTCACAGGGACAGAAAGCTGAGATCGTCAGAAAAGATAGGAGGGTTTGTAGATTATTCCCTTTCTTTTCGCTCGGTTTGATTTCTTTTCCTCAAAACTTCAGACGAAACCCGAAAGATTCCGCGACGCTGCACGGTTGTTTGCTTCGTGGCTGTATGTGGGACGTTGCCGTGCGCAAAAATGGCTGCCTACAAAATACGCAGTCGCTGCACGTTGCAGCAAACCCTGTGAAGCGTTTTGAGGCGTCCTCCCACCTGAAAGGCGCTGTGTATCAATGTAAACTGTTGTTGTTGTGTATCCCCATGGTGCACATAATGCAATGTAGGGACTGTGTCATCCTATCGTGCACTCTCCCACCCTTTTCTGTGACAACAGCTGTTTACAGGCGGTCTGAAATAGTTTCCACAGCACCCCTCAGGGCAGAGGAAGAAACGCAGCCAAAAGCCCTCATACTCTCTCCTTCCCCAACTGGGTTAGCGTTTTTTTTACCCAGCGAGCTGTTACGATCCGGAAAGCGCTGCTTGAGAGGGTGGTGGAAGCAGCTTTGATCGTAGCTTTCAAAGGGGAATTGGATGGGAAAAAGTTTGCGGGGCTACGGGGTGAGAGTGGGGGAGTGGGACTAGTTGGGCAGCTCTTTTCAAAGAGCTGGCACAGGCAGGATGGGCCAAACGGCCTCCTTCGGGGCTGTAAGATTCTATGATTTTACGATTTCCCCGAGAAAACATGACTCTCTCGCTCGCTTGCTCACATTCGGTCGTCAAAAGGTTAACACGAGCAGCGACTGAGCTGAACTCTGGACTCTCAGTTAGCAAATAGCAGATTGCCGTCAATAGTGTCCCACACACTCCACACCGAAGCCGGCACCTGGAACTATCCTATTCCAAACTCTTCCTCTAAAATCTCATAAAACGGGGGTTATTTTTTACTCCCATTAGACAATCTCTCTCCCCGTGTCCTGACTGACAATCGCCTCCACTATTAATGTTACTATTCATCTTTTTTTTTCGCTTTTAAGCATTAAGTTAAATAAAATAACAATTGTAATGTGGTCACTTCAACCCACGACTGTTTGTGGGGACGCTGCTGTGCGCAATTGGCTGCCGCGTTTCGCCCACAAAATACGCAGTCAATTCCCGTTACAGTGCATCCTGTGAAGCGCTTTGAAACGTCTCAAAGGCGTGATAAGGCGCTGTATCAAATGCAAGGATTGTTATCATCATTAAATGATATTTTCCCTTCACTCGTTCCCGGGATTTCTTTTTAGATTTTCACGGTAGTGATATTTTACCCTCTCTGCAGCAAAGAGAACTAAGGTCTCAAAATAAAACATTATTTAACCAAAGTTGTTGGGTATTTTTTCTTTCAAAGGAACCCAAATTAATGAATGGAAAACTTGCTCGGATTGTATTAAGGTTTGAGTGTAGAGGTGAAACCATCTATTCCCTGCATGAGAGAAGGAGAGTTAGTGAGAGATCTGTGCAGCCTATGTCCTCTCCCTCACCGGACTCCGTGAGCCTATCACCCCTTTCCATCTCCGTCCTTGCTTGGCTCCACTGGCTCCCAATTCCCCAGCGGTCCGAAGCCTCACATTCAAATCCATCCACGTCCTCGCCCCAAACCCGACTTCCTGTGACCCTAACAACTCGGCCAACACCAGCCTGCTTCATGTCCCCCCCCCCCAACCCCCCACCCTCCCAACTATAAAGCATTCATCAAGTCTTACCTTTACCTCCTCACTTACGGAGGAAGGTCTTCAGGCGCAACCAGAATATGGGGAAGGAGGAGGCAAGGCGGAGGGATACAGGAAGAGTGTTCCAGAGTTTGGGGGCGTAGTGGCTGAAAGCGCGGCCACCGATGGTGAAACGGAAGGCACACAGGTGTCTCCTCACACCCAGCCAGTCATGTCTCTTGGGTTTCAGCGGCCTTTAGCTACACTCTTCACATGCGCTCTCTTTCTCTGTCCTTTACTCATTTCAACTTCCATCCATTCATTTCTCTCTCTCTCTCTCTTTCTCTCTCCTCCTCTCTCTCTCTCTCTGTGCCCACACTCTACAACAACAACAACAACAACTTGGATTTATATAGCGCCCTCCACGCCGGACGCCGCACACTCTATCCTTATATTAAAAATAATAATCCTTGCATTTGATATAGTACCTTATCATGTCGTTGAGACATCTCAAAGATCTTCGCAGATTAAACTTCCTACTTGCTGTGGCGTAAGGAATCTTGCCTTGGGTTTCACCCTGTCTCGGGAATCGAACCCAGGTCGGAAGTGCAGTGACTGTGTGTTTCGTGAGCGGACTCATCGGCCGAGTTGCACACAGGGACGTCCCCACGAACAGCCACTTAGTGAATGGCCAATTTTATCTGGTGGGATGTTGGCCAGGATCCCGGGAGAGAGAAGCCACCTCTCCCCCTTCTCTTCCCGAATAGCATGGTGGGGTATTCCACCTGAACGCCACAGATGGGGAGACATGCCTTTGGAAGGATGGCATCTCTGACAGTGCAGCGCTCCCCCCTCACCCCAAAGTCCCTGACAGTGGGTGGTGGGGGGGTGGTTAGTGGGGAAACATGGCACCCCATTGATGTCCACAGCAAAAGACAGACCTGTAACCTACACAGCGCCAAACAAAAGCCGGAGCCGGTCAGTTACTCACCAAGGAGGAGAAACGGTCGCTCATGTTATCGCACGTGGCGAAGGGGGGATGAGGGAGTGAAGGGCGGGCTCATCACCTCGGGGCTCCGAGGGGTTCCTTTGCGGGTGGCTTCTCCCCCTGGGGGTGCCAGCGTGTGGGGGTCCCTGTGAGGTGACACTGGCCCCCACACCCTTTGTCGCCAGGCAACTCTGAGAACACAACACAAAGCAGAGGGAGAAAGGTCAGCGTAACGGCAACCATATCTATAATAATAATATTAATCATAATAATAATAATCCTTGCATTTGAGATGGCGCCTTATCATGTGTTCGAGACGTCTCAAAGCGCTTCACGGAATAGTAAAGTGTCTATTTTTTGTGGACGTTTCCAATAATAGAGTCCTCGCCTGGCAAGCGCGAGGACCCGGGTTCGATTCCCAGGCGGGAGAAAACCTCAGGCAAGATTCCTTACTCCACACACACGCCTCTGTTTACCCGGCGGTAAGTAGGAACCACTCTCCCCCTTACCCCAAAAAAAATCTGGTCACTCAATCCACGACTGTTTGTGGGGCACTGCTGTGCGCAATCGGCTGCCGTGTGTCGCCCCCCAAAAATACACAGTCAGTCCACTTTATAGTATATTCTGTGAAGGGCTTTGAGACATCTCAACGGTGTGATAAAGCGCTGTATTAAATGCAAGGAATATATTATTATTAATACACGTCACGTGATTTTTTTTTAATAATCCAAAGGAGACGACCTTGAAATGTCAGTGTGAGTTGTAAACTGAGGTCCACGTGGGGTAGGCACGGGACAGCTGGTTTCGATGCCCACACGGATGCCAACAATGTGAGATGCCCTTTCAGTCCCGAGGGTCAACATTCCTCGGTGCCAAACAATATGCATCAGAACCGCAGCACAAATCAATCCCTTATTCCCACTGGAGTGTTGTGTCAGCCCGGTTCAATAATAAGGATCGTAATTATAATAATCATCCTTATGTTTGATACAACGCCTTTCATGCTGGGAAAGCACTTCACTGGACGTACTGTAGCACGGAGTGACTGTGTATTTTGCGGGTGACACGGCAGCCGATTTACCCACAGCAAAGCTCCACAAACATCCATGAATATTCATTATATTATTATATAAATACTTCGAATATTTGTGGAGTCCTGTAGCTCAGTGGTTAGGAGCACTCGCCTCTCAAGCGAGAGACCTGGATTTGATTCCCAGCAGGGTGAAACCTTGGGCAAGTTTCCTTACTCCACACGCCTAATAATAATCCCTCAAGAAAAAAAAATAATAAATTGGTCACTTCAATCCATGACTGTTTGTGGAGACTCTGCTGTGCGCAATTGGCTGCCGCGTTTCGCCCACAAATATGCAGTCAATTCACTTTATGGTCTATTCTGTGAAGCGCTTTGAGACGTCGAGAAGACTTGAAAAGCGCTATATCAAATACAAGGATTATTATTATTATTATTATTATGAAGTGAACGACCGATTTTATCTGGGGGATTGTCGGCCAGGACATCAAGTGAGAAACTCCCTCTCGAATAGCCCTGCGGGAGCTTTAACATCCACCTGAACAGGTACAGACAGGACCTCGGTTTAACATCTCACCCTCTGACAATGCCACACACCCCCACCCATCACTGCATTGGAACGTCATCGTAGTCGATGTGATACCAAGTCCCGATGTGGGGCTTGAACCCCCAACTTTCTGACTCAGAGGCGAGTGAGCTACCGACTGAGCCAGGCTGCCCCCCCCCCCTCCACACCCCTCCCACACTTACAGGTGCCCTCAGTTATTGAGCCAAGCCACAAACGAAAAGGATCACAGTGGGTTATTCTGATCCCAATTCCGTGCTCTTTCTCCACACACTTTTACAGTGCATTGCCTTCGAGGGGCGAATAAAGCATTTATAGACCATGTTAGCAGGGGCGTTCGAGCGAAACCATTTCTGCGAGGCCTCTTGGGACTCTCTTGTAACTATTATTAGATGACGCCTCGCCTTTAAGGAGCGACAGCCCCATCTTTGTTTTAATACGAGACCATGTTAATAAAATGCTAATGAGGCTGGCAAAATTGCAAAGCCGATCTGAAATGATATTGAATGAAGACTGTGAGAGGTTATGTAGTGATTTCATTAATGCGGAGGAATATTGCCACGTAACTCAGGATGGTGTCTTCCCAGAGAAGGATGGGCACTTGAGGCTGATTAAAAAAGAAACAATTATATCATCAGCCGGTCCAATGTCACCAAGCATAGAAGCAACGATCGAGCTGTTAAAACACTTATTGTACCTCTGCTCATGTCCTCCCGTCGCGAAAGTTGTTTCGCCACAGGACACACAGTCACTTCACTTTACAGTATACTCTGCGAAGCGCCTTGAGACGTCTCAATGCGCTATGTCAAAGGCATGGATTATATTATTATTATTATTATTATTATTATTATTATTATTATTATTATTATCATTAAAAAACCCCACCACACGTATCCTCACCCCAGTCCTCAAAGGAGAAACTGCTTCCACTGGCGGGTGGGTCGGTAACCCGAGGGCACCGATCTAAAATAGTTGTTAAAAGAAACAGAGGGGAGGTGAGGAGAAACTTTTTCACGCAGCGAGTTGTTGGTATCCGGAACGCATAGCCTGGAAGGCTGGTGGAAGCCGATTCGATAACAACTTTTAAGAGAGAAGTAGATAATTACTATTTGGGGAGGACAAGTTTGCAGGGCTGTGGGGAGAGCACTGGGGAGTGGGATTGATTTGGAAGCTCTTTTAAAAGAGCCGGCACAGACACGATGGGCCGAATGGCCTCCTTCTGTGCTGTATAATTCTGGGACTCTATGACTCTCCAGGCTCCACTATTTCCCTGACTACTCGATCCGACTTCAAACAACGACGACGACAACAAATCCCAATTGTAGAGCGCCTTTCACGTCAGAACAACGTCCCAAGCCGCTGGACAGTCAAGGATTTGGACCCGAGCAAGGAACTCACGTCCTCATCCTAACCTACAAATCCCTCCGCACTTCCTCACCTCCCTGATCTTCTCCTTTCCCCACTGTTCAGCTCGTCCCCTCTGCTTGATCAACTCGGGGTTACTGTGCGCCTCACCTCCCCTTCAGCTCCCCTTCCCCCTCCCCCTAACTGTTTCCATCGATGGCCAAGCCTTCAACAACAAACCATCTTCGCTCCACCTCGCTGCCTCATCGACCTTTCCACCTCGCCCCCCACTCTCCACCTCACCCCCCACTCTCCACCTCGCCCCCCACCCTCCACCTCACCCCCCACTCTCCACCTCACCCCCCACTCTCCACCTCGCCCCCACTCTCCACCTCACCCCCCACTCTCCACCTCGCCCCCCACCCTCCACCTCACCCCACTCTCCACCTCGCCCCCCACTCTCCACCTCACCCCCCCTCTCCACCTCGCCCCCCACCCTCCACCTCACCCCCCACTCTCCACCTCGCCCCCCACTCTCCACCTCACCCCCACTCTCCACCTCACCCCCCCACTCTCCACCTCACCCCCCACTCTCCACCTCACCCCCCACTCTCCACCTCGCCCCCCACTCTCCACCACGCCCCCCACTCTCCACCTCACCCCCACTCTCCACCTCACCCCCCACTCTCCACCTCACCCCCCACTCTCCACCTCGCCCCACCCTCGCCACCTCACCCCCACTCTCCACCTCGCCCCCCCCCTCCACCTCACCCCCCACTCTCCACCTCGCCCCCCACTCTCCACCTCGCCCCCCCCTCTCCACCTTGCCCCACCCTCGCCACCTCACCCCCCACTCTCCACCTCACCCCCCCCTCTCCATCTCCCCATCCACTCTCCACCTCGCCCCCCCTCTCCACCTCGCCCCACCCTCTCCACCTCGCCCCGCCCTCCACCATGCCCCCCCCCTCTCCACCTCACCCCCCACTCTTCACCTCGCTCCGCACTCTCCACCTCGCCCCCCCCTCCACCTCGCCCCCCACTCTTCACCTCGCTCCCCACTCTCCACCTTGCCCCCCACTCTCCACCTCGCCCCCCCACTCTCCACCTCGCCCCCCACTCTCCACCTCGCCCCCCACTCTCCACCTCGCCCCCCACTCTTCACCTCGCTCCCCACTCTCCACCTCACCCCCCACTCTCCACCTCGCCCCCCACTCTCCACCTCGCCCCCCTTCTCCACCTCAGTTTGGCATTGGTAAGCTGTGCAATTTTAGCCAGTTCGACTCCAGGAGTTACTCCAACGCACACCCTGAGTTCCCCAAGCCTTGGCTCTTGCCAACCTGCACGTAATACTCTCTGGATTAATTCGCTCCAGGTGAGAGAGCGCGTATTCCATTTCATTCCATAAATATCCCCCCCACCCCCAGCTCGACATCTGGCTCCGACATCAGTAAAGCGCTCCGAGACGCTATATAAACACAAGTTGCTGTCGTATCTCGGGCATTTCCACGTGTAGGTGGGAGGGACGCGTGAAAAATCGCGGTCTGGTTCGGGCCTCGTTAAGCGCGGTGACGGGTTTCCGCGCACGTCGGGACACCCGGCTGCCAGAACCAAACAAAGCCCGTCCCCGCGAAACAACCCGAGGTGTCAGCCTGCCTGTCGGACGCTGTGTAAATGTGAGTATAACACGGGGGTTTGGGAGCGTTCACAACCCGAGTGGGCTCCAGTCCCAAAGCCTGTAATTTGGTGCATATTGGCAAACTCATTCAGAGAAACTACAAGAACAGCTGATGCGTGTGATGGGGACAGCTGGCCTGGGCGTTGGGAACATTCACAGTGGAGCAGTAGGGGGTAGGAGCTCATCCAGCGGAGAGAACTGCGCTCTCGATCAGCGTGTTCTGCTCCTGACCTGGCAGCACTTTGCTGTTGACAATGGCCGGCCCAGAGTGGGAAAGAGCTCCATTGCCCTTGTTTCACCTCCTTGATTGGTCCCTGATTCCTCCGCCTTGCCCGCCCCTCCCCCCGCCCCTCTTTTAGATCACAATTCAAGACCTTCCTCTTTGACCGTGCTTACGGTCACCTCCTGCCTCCCTTCCCCCCCGCCCACCCCACCACCCACCGCACTATTAAGGGCTCCAGAACACTGCCCCGTGTTCTTTCAGGTCGACTTAACAGATCCCTCGGCACCATTCAAAAGGAGAAGGGAGTTTCTTTCTCTCTCTCTCTATCCCTCTCTCTCTCTCGTGGTGTCCTGG